CCCCTCCTGAAGTCGCGCGAGGAGATCCCGGCGGTTGATATCGGGAGGGTTCTCTAGACGGTCCTTCACGCGCGCGATGGCGATGCCGGCAAGGTTCTGCACAGCGGCTAGGCCCTTGCTGAAGAACGGGTCGGGGAGCCATTTGGCGTAGGGTAGAAGCTGTGGAAGGCAGCCGAGAGTAGCAGACACCTCTCCGCGGCGGTTGAGGATCTCGACAGCCGGGAGGTAGACAGGGTCAGAATCGACCGCCATGCGCACCTCGGCCATGTCAGCCCCCGCCTTCAGCATGCCGAATGGCGCTCCGAATGCCAAGTCCCCGATGGTATCGAAGGCTACATAGTTGAACCATTTTAGACAGTCAATATATGCCGTCTTGTCTGCACCGGGCGAGTTTTGAACTAGTTCGTCCCATCTATTGACGAATACCTCAAGATTCTCATGAATGTATGGCTCGAACTGCGATATCGACTTCGGAGCAAAGGTGCTGGAGATTAGCTTCCTCTTGCGGGTATGCTCGGCGCGGTCGCGGGTATTGAATAGACCGCGTCTTATGGACACGAAGGCGTCGTAAAAGTCCGATTTAAGAAATCCATTGCCGTGACCATAGACGACTTGGATAGCTTCGTCATCGGCGAGACTGACGTGGTTCGGTTGGATCCGCACAACGGGCCCTAGCTTTTTGTGGACCTCATCTACAATGAGATGGCGTTTCCCTCGTCTGGCGGTATACAGGAGCCATAGATTGGTGAACTGCGCTGGGAAGGGTGCAGGAATATTGCGAAGATGGCTGTATGTCACTAGGTACGGGTAGAGAAAGTAGACCGTAAGAGCAATAAATCCAACCACCAACGTCCAAGGCGATACGAGCTGATCGAGGAGCGCCATCTTGGTGATGAGCTTTTTGTGTGTGAGGGAGGTGGTAGGTCGGATTCCGCTGATGAGAGTGAAGCCAAACGCCTCCTTTTCAATTGATTCAATTGACCCCTCACTCCCCACAGCCAGACGAGAGCGGACGAAACTGACGGCAACCTATATCAACATTTTATAATAGGGATATCTCCCTTATTTCGAGTTCACTTCTATAGAGTTCAATGCGGAGTAATCAACATGAGATGAGACCCCCGCGGTATTTGCATGTCGGTAGGAATTCTCGGATCGTGAAAAGCAACCTTGAAAAGCTTGATGTTGGATGGACATGCTTCTAGCGCTATTATAGCACTAATCATGACGGGAACTAGGGCATAGTGCATGCAGGATGACCACAGTGTCTTTAGAAGCCCCTCGTGGCCTCCTCTTAGATGGATACCTGTAGTGTTGGTATCTGCGAGACGGAGGGAAATATGAACCAATAATATAGAGATTACAAAATCTGGAGATATCAAATTGGAGGGAGGGGTAACATCCATTTAGTATATTTAGTAGCATTCTCAAAGGTCAAGTAATACGGTAACTGAGATCGGTATCTAGCCGTGTAAGCAAGCAAACTTCATAGACGAAACTGAAATGAGATGGCAATCCCTTGCGGCATTCTGCAACGGGACGTGTGATCGCGATTGGACTGGTGTCGTCAGTGCACTATTAGAGAGTCACTTGGTGCCTTTTCGCCAAGGTACTTCTTAACAGGTATGTGATGAATATTTTCTACTTCATGAGGTCGATCTTCTATGGTGCGCCCTTTGCAAAATGAAGTTACACAGCGGCTCCTGTTAAGGATTATGGTGAAGCTCAGAACCTGCCCCGCATTCAATTATACCCTTATACCCGTTTAGCACGATATAACCAAGAAAATGCATAATACACTTTCTATATATAGCTTGGAGAACGTATGCATCTCTCGAAGTCTCTATATCGTCAAGCTGACGTAAATTGTAAACTTTTCCCACTAGATCACCGCTCTTACCCGCGATCCATAAGGTAGGACTGGCGACGAGGGGCCACAATTCCATAGAATAGCCTCGAATTGGTTGTTCCGAGGTTACATACTTGATTGATGGGCGTGCCTATGCCGACCCGATTCTTGGCGATTAAGCACGGTTCCGGGCCTCGGCTATCAACATTGGAGATCCCAAGTTCGTTACGTTACAAGCAGCGGAGATACACGGGAAGAGGTTACGGCTAGTAGTCACTGAAATTGTGTGAAATGATGGAATTGAGAGCTTCACATGGTATTATGTATAATTAACCAACAATGGAAGGGTAATGGCAGGATTGAGTCAAACTGTATCATATTTTTGACCGTTCAACAACTACCAGGTAGGTACTCGGTAGGTACTCGGTACAGAGCCACCTAAGCCCAAGAACGCCCCCATTCGCCCGATTCATACAGAGTAATTCATAGCTTTCCGGCTGCGCGGAAATCTTCGAAGGCTTCGATGACACGAGCCTTCATGGTCTTCTCACCCTCTCTTACCCACACACGGGGGTCGTACTTCTTCTTGTTCGGCTTGTGGGGACCCTCAGGGTTGCCGACTTGGGTCCTTAGGTAGTCGATGTTGTTTAGGATGTAGTCGCGGTGACCAACTAGGTATGCCCACTGGAGATCTGTGTCGAGGTTGACCTTGACGACACCGTGGGAAATGGCCTCCAAGAATTCCGCCTTGCTGGAGCCAGAGCCACCGTGGAAGACAAAGAAGACGGGCTTCTTCTGGCCGTCGTTCAACTTGGCGGCGACATGGGCCTGGTGCTTGCCGAGCAATTCGGGGTGGAGGCGGACATTGCCTGGTTGGTAGACACCGTGGACGTTACCAAAACCTGCAGCAATGCTGAAGAGGTTGGAGATGGGGCTAAGGGCCTCGTAGATGGCGAGAATGTCCTCTGGCTGTGTGTATAGAGAGTTGTTGTCGACATCTTCGTTGTTGACACCATCTTCCTCACCACCTGTCAAGCCCACCTCCATTTCTAACCACAGACCCAGCGGTTGCGATCGCTTAAGGTATTTGGCTGTTGTCTCAATGTTGTACTTGAGGTCTTCCTCTGATAAGTCGATCATGTGACTGCTGAAGAGGGGAGTGCCGTGCTGCTTGAACCAAGCCTCGTCGGCATCGAGCATGCCGTCCAGCCATGGGAGCAGCTTCTTGGCGCAGTGGTCGCTGTGCAAGATAACGGGGACGCCGTAGATAGGCGCGATCGCACGGACGTAGTGTGCCGCAGCAACTGCGCCAGCGATGGAAGCCTCTTGGTTGGTGTTAGGAATAGACTTTCCGGCAAAGAAAGCAGCACCTCCGTTGGAAACTTGGATAACAACGGGGGATCTAGATTCCTTGGCTGCTTCAAGGACGGCAACGACAGTAGAGGATGAGGTGACGTTGACGGCGGGGAGAGCGAACTCGTTCTCTTTGGCGTATTGGAATACCTAGAGGGGGAACCGCGCATTAGATCTTTTTCCTTGAGATTATATACAGGTAGATTAGTATAGTAGCCTAGCTTACCTTCAAGACATCCTGGCCGTAGATGACACCAGGCTTGAGGTTCAGCTTATCCATCAAACCCATTGTGAATTGATTAATACGGAACAATTGAGAGGGTAAAGGGTCTTTGTTGAACTATCGAGGTAATATACAATTGCGAGGATAGCCTAAGCGATTAAAATGATAGAGAAATTGAGTTGTTTGATGTAGAATCAGTGAGAACTCTGAGGGAATTAAAGCAGTTGATGGTGAAGAAAAAGTTGAACAAGGAAGAGGGGGTCCAGAGTTTGGAGGGGTTGTTGGGTCAGACCAGATCCACGGTGACGCAGACGGCCGAGAATTTATTATGGAGGTAATATGGAGGTTTCAGCTGCGACCCGGATTATTTCGCTTCCAATTGTATCATTTGTTGGCCTTCTGGTCAAAGCTTTTAATTCTATCCTTTTGGCTTCCCACTAGTAGTTCATGTGCCGTCCCGGATACTTTACGGAGCAATGGACGGATATCTTGAGTTTCTTTTATACATCTAGGTAATATGCCGGCGAGCTTGAACGTTTTACCCCTCCAAACGTCAGGTCCAGCTTCGGGAAGTCAAGGTGGGGTAACCCGAATACTTCGGAAGACAACTAGGTAGGTACATAAGCAATTGTATTAAACGTTTAGAAAAGTACGTTATAGTCTATAATTCTCTCCAATCCACCTGACTATATTCAATTGGGGTATACGAATGAAGATTCTACATCGAAGTGGTATGACAACTCAGCAATAGTGTTGAAGTCAACGACGACTTGAATTGCGGAGCATCTCTTTCATCATCAGACGCCGTTATGTCACAGTCAAGTAGAATGCCCCGCCAAATACCCCCACCATTCCATTCATTGAGCTTCTTATCTTATCTGTTACATGAATGACCTCAACTATGATGCATTTACCTCCTATTCTTATGAAGATGCATCCCAATATCAATACTTTTAACCTTACTCCAATATCTGATACTCATCATACTATTCATGATTGCTATTCACCCTCTTCCCTCTGTTTAGCTTCTGTTTACCACGAGTCGTGCTAAGAATGTTTCACTTCTTGAATCCGTTCCTGAACCAGGATCACACCTGAAACTAAGCGCCATATAAACTCGAGTAACTCCGGAATGAGTCTTGGCTTGAGGCTTTTTCCAACTGAATTCGCATTTGATCACGACGCAGAAAAATTTCCCATGTCGGTAGGTAGACGGCTCATAGTACCCGAGTCTCAATGGACGTAAGACTAGAATGCATTTACTGCTTTGAGTCCGGTCTAACGGTGGAGCTCGTGATATTTTAACCGATTATATCTCCCCGATTACACACACTCACTTTCGCCATCCAATCGAATTCCGGAGTTATTCGTACGTATATCTCCTTACGTCAACAAGTGGAGAGCTTGGATTATAACCCACTCTCAAGACTCAGTCCGCATCTAGTGTCCAACGCTATAATACAGTACCAATCAACGACACCGCCACCGTCTATAGGGTCGCAGTCAAAGAAAGCTGCAAACATAGCACAATATTAGCAGTGTGATTCCCATCAGCGAATCATCTTCGATGACAGCGGCGCAGTGGCGGAGTGGTCTAACGCGATAGACTAGAACAATTTCTGAGAATGCCTGTCTGGTGTTCCTCAGTAGGTCTCTAGCCCATCTATTCCCTTCGGGGGCGTCTGTTCGAATCAGGCCTGCGTCGTATGATTTTTTTTTATATGTGTATACCTCTAATATTTCCTCGATTGAATAACACATGATTATTGGCGATGAAATTTTATATGGCTCGCTTAGTCTCTAAACTGTCTATTATTTTTATCCTATTTGGTAGAGCCGACGTCGCACTAGTGAACTTCTTAGGTGCCTAGGAGTGCCCAGGTAGTCAGCTGCAAATACAACTTCAATCTACCTAGGTAGATATTGTTTTTCAGGTAATCGAGGCCTTTACCGTCCCTGCAATCGGAATATGGGTGTGTTTATATTCAACTCGGTTTTACCGATTTGATATTTAGGTACGGTGTGTCGTGATAGACATGATTATCAAATTATGCGGCGCGAATACGGTGAGTTGTGGGTTGTAATGTTAGCGTGACCCCTAAAAGCCACTGAAACTAACAAACAAGAAACTCGACAACAATTTCATTATCTGAATAACAAAGACAGCTCTACAAGATAAAAGATGAATAGTTTCTGTTCGCCTTTGGTGAAAGAGATAATCACTGGCTCAAATTCACAACGAAGCTGTATTTAAATTCTATATAAACCACTAATCTCTCCATACAATACCATAATCAAATGGCATCTCAGTAAAGAATACCTATCAGCACATCTTGCACCTAACATCATGAACTCGCCAAGCGACCTCCAAATCACCGCCGAAGACCGGCAAAACTTAGAATTAATTCAGCAGCTTCACAGGAAGGAGCCGTCTCTCTCTGCATCCAAGCTAATTGAGAGACTGAAGGAACATACGGGGCAGCAGCCTTCTAAATTTGTGGTGAGGGCGGCCGAGTTGTATGTTGACACGTACAAGGAAGCTCGTGAAGTTATGGCCTGGAAGAGAGGTTTTTAAGGTTTACTCGGCGAATGACGCTGGATAGATAGGGCGTTACCCTGAACACCGTTCATATCTCCTTAATCAAATATTAGCTATCATTGAATTATTTAGACTTGATCTCGACTAGGAAAATGTGACTACCACTCTGTACCGTGCCTTATGCACTAGGATACAATTTCTAAGCCAAGAACGAAGTTTTATTTAATTGACTGTCCCGTGATATGTCGTGCAATGTTCATGCAAGGGTTTGGGGGGAATCAATTACAAATTACTTCACAACTATTTGCTGTAAGGTTATAAAGGCCACCCCTTATTGAATATACGGCCGAAGGCATATCTTTCAAGATACTATGCCAGATTTGCCAACTATGTGTTGAAAGCTCGGGAGATCTTACAGGCACATATTGACATGGCCTTTGATCTACTCTCTGATGCTGTTGCCGACAATGACGGCGATGGATATTATCAATTGGCCGAAAGTCTATTATATATTGCGGCGACGAAATGAACGCCCTGTCTGCGTACTTACTCCCTTTACCTCCGTTTATATCATCGCTCAAGGGAGATATTATATGATGGATACTGGAATCCGAATCGGAACAAGAGCGAACATTAATTGAAGAATTGGCTGTTACCATCGAAAAAGTTGGGTCCGGAGGCTCTCTTGAGGACCGGATGGAATCTGCACTGCACCGTATCGAGGGCATTCTCCATTATATCAGCGACAGTGAATGTGAAAGCCAGGATGTCGATGTACCTACCCATCAGGAGATTATCGATACGGATAGCGATGGGATTGCTGAGACTTAAATTTCTCAAACCAGTACGACTTCTAGCTTCGCAAATAGTGATCTTGACAATGGCACCAACGAAACGCTAGAATCACCAAGGTCAAGTGGTGTAGAAATGTAGGCCACGTACGAAAGAATCCGAGCGATAATCAAACGATGGCTGAATGACTATAAATTCGGAGCCAAGCGCTGGTGTGACGTGTGCGACACTATGTGGGATCTCGAACATGCGATGAATTCCTGCAAATATTGCTACAACATAGACTTCTGTGATGGGTGCCTGAACAAGCTCAAAGCCGGAAAGCTCGAGATTCTATCTTTAGAGACGTATTGCAATGAAGGCCCTGACTGGTTGCGTCTACCCCCGTGGGATAAGGACACATATTTCCGTACATTGAGGAAAGAGGTATACGTAAGAGGCCATATTGACGATTAGGGAAGACGCGTGATGGAACCCATGGTCCTGGTAGCCGAATGGCTGAATGGACTAAGGAAAAGATGGTCGACGAGGGCGGGATAATTTGTACGAGCTGCAGCTAGTACTAGGAATGTAGCTGTTAAGCTGCCGAAGATTAGGTGTACCAAGGTGAAGACAACGACACCGAGACAATAATACATGTAAGCAGCGACGGATGTCAAGTAACCTTTGGAGAACCTTTGGAGAACATCCTCAGCGATACACACCTAAGGTATCCAGACTATCCCGCAGGGAACTTGCGACGTCGGCCGATCTACGGTGCGACGGCCTCCTCGGAGCCCGTAATGTCCAATGAGACAGAACACATATATAGAGCCATGCTGGAACTCTCAACAGGAGAAGAATGCTCAAACACATCAAATTCTCTTCAATATTAATCATTTTAGATTCTAAGCGGCGAAACTTACTTGCGTGGCCCCTATATTGTCCACTAGTTCAGCTGATCAGTCCGAGCTATCGCCATGGAAGTCGAGACAACTCCAAGCTTCACGCCAGCGAGTACCGCAGCAGATGTTATCGTGGTCGGAGCGGGGCTCAGTGGTCTCCAGGCCGCGGTGAACATCCAAGCCGCCGGATTCTCATGTCTGGTCTTGGAGGCCAACGACCGGGTAGGGGGTAAGACGCTTAGCATCAAGTCTAGCTCGAAGCCAGCCGGAGTGAACGACGTTGGAGCAGCGTGGGTGAATGACACCAACCAGTCCGAGATCTGGAAGCTGTTCGAGAAGTACAATGTAGGGCCCGTAATCCAGAGGGCTACTGGTACCAGCTTTCGGCAATCTGAAGACGGCAGTGTGGTGACCCACCCTTACCATGAGGAATCCTCTGTGAGTTCGGAAGCTACCTATCTATCTAAGAAATATCGTTAAGATAGCGGCAGCATCGCTAACACTGAGCCACGCTTGAAGGGGAGCGACGAGGATCAAGTCGACGAGATGCGCCGACTGTATGGGGCTGTCCACCAAGCCGTCGAAGCATCGAACCTCGAGCATCCTGAGACTGGGCCAGACGCTCAGAAGCTTGATAGCATAACATTAGCTGAATTCTGCCAGGAGATTGCACCTAATATCGGGGTTACCATAGCGTCAGTGCTTACTGGCTCTCTGCTAGGGGTTGAGCCCCAGGAGGTCAGCGCTCTGTACATATTCAATTATATAAAAAGCGGCAGCGGTCTGGAATCAATAATATCGGATGAAAAAGACGGCGCACAGTATATTCGGGCGCGACACGGTAAGAAATGAGTTACCTATTGTCGTTCCAGGCGCAAGGGCTGACATGCCGGAATACAGGTATGCAGACTATATCGGAAGGCCTCGCTAGGGAGCTAACTCCTGGTTCGCTCCACTTGAACACGGTCGTAAAGTCTATCAAAAAGAAGGATGACGGATCCTACGAGGTGCATTCCACAGTCGGTGCCGCGTTCGTGGCTAAGCATGTCGTGGTTTCAATCCCGACTAGTTTGTACCGCACGATTGAATTCGTGCCACCGCTGCCGGAGAAGAAGCAAAAGCTGGGCGAGAGCACCGCCCTTGGATATTATACCAAGGTGGTGCTGGTTTTCGATAAACCATGGTGGCGTGAAGCGGATCTATCCGGCGTTATGACGTCTTTTAAGGGGCCCATATCGTTTACCCGCGACACGAGCGTACCAGAGGATGACCAGTGGTCTATCAGCTGCTTCGTCGTGGGCGAGTTTGGACGCGACTGGAACAAATCTTCGGAGAAGGAGAGGAGGGAAACGGTTCTCGGGCAGTTCAAATCCGTCTTCTCGACCGCCACAACGGTACCTGAACCTATTGTCATTCACGAGAAGATCTGGTCCGAGGAACCGTACTTCCTTGGAGCCCCGTCTCCCGTAATGGGTCCTGGCGTGCTTACGTCACTTGGGTCGGATACGTTACGAGAGCCGGTTGGGAATATTCATTTTATTGGAACCGAGACGTCTGTAATTTGGAAAGGCTACATGGATGGTGCTGTGCGCTCGGGGCACAGGGGCGCAGAGGAGGTAATCGCGGGATTACAGGGGTAAATCACGACCAGGTGCGCGGGTATATTATGCCTTGCGATCTGCCCTCAGACGGTTTCTGTTTCCAGGACTAAGGTCCTTAGATCTTCGAATGGATTTATTGAGAATCTCCTATCTGACTAATCAACGACGTGCCTTTTTTTTTTTTTGGTCCATTTGCCTTTGAACTTCTAGGAGGTGCCTAGTACCTAAGCCTGAGTCCCTGTTTGTCTGGGCTCATGCGTGCGGTAACGCCCTAGAACTTTGGTTGCCGCTTCACCAAATAGGCACCTTAGACAAGAAGTTGATACATCATAATGATGCTGCGTTTTTGAGCCAATGATGCTGTTAGTAGGCAGCCGGTTAGGTACCCTATACAATAGTACGGCGGCCTCATCCAATTGATTCCATCTTTCTAAAGCAGGCTGCCGTGGCTCACTGTATGTCGCGGGCCATTTTCATGACCCAATGCCTCGTTGGCCTCACAGGCTGACCGCCCTAACATATTGATTCTTTGTCCTGCAATCTGACATATCTACCCACCGTACGTCCCTCACAGAATCTTACACCAAATCAATCAACATCATAATCAAACCCTAAACTGCATCGCAAGATTCTAATATTCTACGAAAATTAACATCGAGATGAAGTTCCCCGACGCCGCGGTCATCGCCGACATGGCAAAACAAGCTGCCAAGCAAGCACCAAAGTGGATTGCCGAGAATCCTAAAAGCGCAGCAATGTACGGACTTGCGGGCACTGCCATCGCTATTCCAGTAGCCATTACCGGTCCAGCTCTAGCAGCCGCTGGTTTTGGCGCGAACGGAATAGCAGCTGGTGCGTTTATCACCTTCTTCCGTATCGAAATTGAAGC